TGTCTTGCCCAAGGACACAACGACCGAGACTGTCCGAGCCGGGGCTCGAACCGGCAACCTTCCGATTACAAGGCGAACTCCCAACTCTTGAGCCACGATCGAATAGGAAGAAGAATATCACTTCCAGTTCAATTGCATGCATAAATATGAAAACAATGACAAAGTGCATACTGCGATGTGGCCAGAAGCAACTATCAACTGCTGATAGCAACGCATCAACTCTTTCCACACGTCTGCATAAAAAAAAACATATCAGAGCTAATGACAAAGAGAATAATCTTAAACCAAAGTGTATGCTGAGCTGTGATTTTTTTCAGAGGTTAGAGAATGAGGAGCGTTCAGAACTATAGTCACAACCGCCAGTTTGTGGGATGTTCTACCTGTCCTTGCTCCAACAGGTGTGGGCAGAAATGGCCTGATTGCTTTTCTTTGAAGCACTTTCATTTTTTTTCCCCCACTAACTTAGATGAATGCTGTGTGTTAACAAATAAATGCTAATTCACTAGCTGGGCCCACGTCCTCATTTTAGGTTTGACAGCGTTTTAGTAGGTAAAGGTGAATGCTTGGATATGAATTGAGCTGCGGTTTGGGGAAGGCCTCGAGGGGGACTGGCGATGGCTCCCGGGCCTGGCAGATCCTCGTGTACTAAATAGAAGTCAAGAAGTTAAAGAATTGAAAGGGGGAGGGAGGGTGAGGCACGTAAACGAGAATGATCAGCTTGCAGAACTGGGGGAACCTATATAGATGAGAACAGGAAGGAGCGTTTGGAGGCGTGGTCGCGCTCCTGAAATTCCAATACATAACTGTCCAATAGAAGGATATTGTGTGTGTATATTGTTAAAGTATGTGACAATGCACATTATGGAATAATGCAAAAGTAATGCAACTTTTGTTCATTCTTTTGATTCTTACTTTATGACCCTAACATTGGTGGTTTTAAACAGTACATTTGTTTACACAGCAAGAAAACCAACCTGAATGAATTTGTTTTACTATTAATTTCAGATAATAGTGTCTCATTTTGGTTGACTTCCACATAAAAATAATGCTTTTTGCAGCAGGTTTTACTTTCAAAACAATTCTCAAATAATTTTCTCATGAAGAAATGAGACTCCTCAGACATTCTTATGTATGTGCAGGAACGTTTTGGGGCTGATCCAGATGCCTCACGCTGGGCCAGCCGTCTCCAGCTGAGCTGTGAACTGCAGGTGAAAGTCTTAAGAAACAGGTGCCTACTCCTCCTGCCAGAGGGAACAAAATAGCAGGCTGGGCATCGGTTACACCAATCGCTGTCTATCAGAGTGGAACCCGTATTGATTAACAAGGCCGATAGACTCGGTGGCCCCAGCCACCAACTGTCGACTGCGCCTCCCCCTTCTGTGTGCAACAGCGATAGTGGGTTTAGGGTTACGCACTGGCCCCCTGCATACCAAATTTAAAAGGGTGGAAATGGAATTACTGCATCTGTTTAGAAGTCAACTTCTGCATTCTCTGGGCTGCCCACTCTGCCACTCCTCTATCTAACCTCCCTTCTTGACTCTCGGTAGGTTTCCCCCCCGATTCTCCCAGGGCTCTCAAAGTTCACGACGCCAAAGAAAAAGGTGGGTGGGTAGCAAAGGAGGGCGGCTTCTCACAGAGTTACTGAGGCGTGCTGTGAAACTCTGAAATGTCTGTGTCTTTGTAACCTCCTCATGGGAAGTTTGGGCTTGTGATACTCTCAAACACTACTCTCCTTTCTATAATTTAATGTGGTAAAATTAAGTTGATTCGCACCGTGGAGCCACAACCCTGTCAGTCTTTAGTTTCTCTGAAAAATGTGGTTAGATCGATAAGCAAAAAGGGAATTAAGGTTAACAACAGACAAGATAATAAAGTCTCAGTTAATGTGACGCTTCCTCACAAATCAACTCACGTTCATAAGCTCCCACAGAGCGTAGATGATCATCACGGCAATGATGATAAAGTGGTATTTTGTTTTAGCTTTGAAAGACAGAATGTCACAACTGCAATTATATTTAAAGGGAAGTTTATAAAGTCTGATTGGGATGAGGAACAAGAATAATTACTCAGAAGACACATTTGTGCATAATCTGGGAGTCTGTGCACACATACAGCTCAGAGCACCTGACATTTGTGTCAGATTTGGCCCAAATGTCATTAGCTGCACTTGACATAGACTAGGGGAAGCTTTTTGTGGGACAGATGTGACCCATATGTCAGTACACACCTCACATCTGGCCTATATAAACTGAACCTGGTCAAGCAACCAGTCTTACCTCAGAGTCAGTGCAATGAGTCATGGTCAAATCTGGCACGCAAGAGAACCACAGCTTTGGGCTAAATTTGTGCCAAACAAGCATCGCTATCTGGATAATGGTCTATACATATTATAAACAGTAAAATATATATATATATATATATATATATATATTTATTAATTAATACACAATCCTCATGTATATACTGTGTGTGTGTGTGTGATATATATATCTATATATATATTCATTTATTTATTAACTAGTTATCCATATCTTATTTATTCCAACATCTTCGAACTCTCTACCATGTGCCATGAATATAAACATCTCACACATGTTACACATGTTTTGATTGTTAGTATTGTGTGTTGTCTATCCCAGCGGTCCCCAACCCCCGGGCCTCGGACCGGTACCGGTCCGTGAGTCGTTTGGTACCGGGCTGCGAGAGTTTAGGCTCAGGTGTGAAATGTATAGTTTTCAGGGTTTTTATC